ACATCAATGAGCATTTAACTTAAAATACAAACACCTTTTTTCCTACAATGAAGTAAACAATAAACAATAACAATAAACTGATAAAATAGAATAGTACCTGAGGGTAAAAGGCTCCTTTGGTGCTGGAAGAGCTACTGGATGATGCTCCCGTCACATGGTTCCTGTCGTAGAGCACTGCTACACTGCTACTGCTGCCCATGAGACTCACTGAGCTTATCATGGACTTCCCACAGGAAATACCTGCGACACAGACTCGTCACATCGTCACACACTAAAGACTCATCACAGGCAGAGACATTATTCACCTTAACAGACTGCAGCAGCTATCAAACAGCAGACCTTTACCTGTAAAATTACCGTGCTGTGAATTTGTGGGTGCAATGAAGTTGAGGGGCACGTGAGGGGTCCCGCTGATGTATTCATGTGGAAAGCCTCCATTAGGTCCCTTGTAATGGCGACACACAACTCTCTGACACACAAAACACATGCCTCCCATCACAAAGACCGAGAGGATGATGCCGATGACGGGGCCGATGGTGCTGGTGTGACGCGGAATGTCGTTAGGGGTCGAAGGGAAATCTGTGAATAAGCCAAACAGGGATAAATATGTCTTGGAGGCAATGTTACATTGAAGTTATGGGATGCACGGTCAAACAACTTGTGCTTTTTTTGGTATGGTAAACTTACCACAGAAAAGCTCGTCAGATTTGTCGGCACAGTCTGCGAAGGAGTCACACTGCTGTTTCTTCAGAATACACTGGTTGTTGCCACACCGGAACTGATTAGGCATGCAAATAGCTAATGGGAAAAAAGTGCGAGGACAGATCAGCGACTGACACAACTAGTTTATAAAAATCAAGGAAGTGAAAAATGAAGCAGCATAAATTTATGAATGCAAAACATTAGATTCAGTGTTTCATATAAGAATTTGCTTTTTTTTTTAGAAGACAGTTTTAAAATGTACAACAAAAGTCTAAAACTCAAGTTGTCTGGACATTTGAGCTATCTACCTTCCTATCTACCTACCTTCCTACCTTTCAGTATATCTACCCTAACTATCCAGATATTTCAGCTACATGCATATCAGCATATCTACCCTACCATTTCAGATATGAGCTGTCAACCTCCCTACTGACAAATCTACCTAGCATATCTATCCTACCATTACAGATATTTAAGCCATCCATCCATCCATCCATCCATCCATCCATCCAACTGCATATTATCCATCCAATTATCCAGAATCTCTGGATTAAAACACACCTGTAAGACCTGGTTGTCGACGGGCTGTTAGATGAATAAAAGACTTCTGCATTGTAAAGTGAGCGATCTGTTGCTGGCGATGGAGGAGGGTTGAGCATCTATACACAGAAATGTAAAAAAAAAAAAAAAAGTTTTAAGGCATAAACCACAACAAACCAGACAATATAAAATACATCAATGAGCATTTAACTTAAAATACAAACACCTTTTTTCCTACAATGAATTAAACAATAAACAATAACAATAAACTGATAAAATAGAATAGTACCTGAGGGTAAAAGGCTCCTTTGGTGCTGGAAGAGCTACTGGATGATGCTCCCGTCACATGGTTCCTGTCGTAGAGAGGTGCCCCACTGCTACTGCTGCCCATGAGACTCACTGAGCTTATCATGGACTTCCCACAGGAAATACCTGCGACACAGCGAGACAGACTCGTCACACACTAAAGACTCATCACAGGCAGAGACATTATTCACCTTAACAGACTGCAGCAGCTATCAAACAGCAGACCTTTACCTGTAAAATTACCGTGCTGTGAATTTGTGGGTGCAATGAAGTTGAGGGGCACGTGAGGGGTCCCGCTGATGTATTCATGTGGAAAGCCTCCATTAGGTCCCTTGTAATGGCGACACACAACTCTCTGACACACAAAACACATGCCTCCCATCACAAAGACCGAGAGGATGATGCCGATGACGGGGCCGATGGTGCTGGTGTGACGCGGAATGTCGTTAGGGGTCGAAGGGAAATCTGTGAATAAGCCAAACAGGGATAAATATGTCTTGGAGGCAATGTTACATTGAAGTTATGGGATGCACGGTCAAACAACTTGTGCTTTTTTTGGTATGGTAAACTTACCACAGAAAAGCTCGTCAGATTTGTCGGCACAGTCTGCGAAGGAGTCACACTGCTGTTTCTTCAGAATACACTGGTTGTTGCCACACCGGAACTGATTAGGCATGCAAATAGCTAATGGGAAAAAAGTGCGAGGACAGATCAGTGACTGACACAACTAGTTTATAAAAATCAAGGAAGTGAAAAATGAAGCAGCATAAATTTATGAATGCAAAACATTAGATTCAGTGTTTCATATAAGAATTTGCTTTTTTTTTTAGAAGACAGTTTTAAAATGTACAACAAAAGTCTAAAACTCAAGTTGTGGATGTGTCTGTAACTATACACTGTCATATGAACACCAGTCACTAATTTATTTTTTCAAGAGATATACAACAATACAACTGCTTTTCAGCTCAATTCAATTTGGACATAATAAACTGGGGTTCATTAAATGACTCAAGTGAATCATTTGAGCCAGTTCAGTGAGTCTGATCGATTCATTAAATAAGACAGAGAGATGAGTCCTGTTTCAGAATAATTTTTACTGATTCATACAAGAAACTATCGATTTATTTGCAAAAAGTTTGTTTTGAGGACAGCACAATGTTGTGTTGACTATTTAGTACTTTGTGACACCCAGTCATACTCTCTTATACACAGTGTGTTTCACATTTTTGTACTTCCAAAAAATAAAAAAAGAGAGCTGCTTGTCTGGCTCGTCATGCTCTTTTAGCCATAATATCTAAGAACCAGCAATCCAAGATTTTGAATGTTTATTAAAACCCTGTTCAAATATGAATTGCAATTTTATTTGGCCAAAATGTGCACCTCAAGATTGTGTTTTTACAGAATCAGTCACAGGTGGAAATTCTGGTAAATCAGCAGGTTCAAAGTGCGTAACAGTTGGACATACTGTCGCAATCCTGTTCATCAGAGCCGTCCGCGCAGTCGGGCTCTCCGTTGCAGCGCAGCTGGGAGTCCACGCATTGGCCTTTGTCGCACTGGAACTGGAGTTCGGAGCAGATGGGGCAGTTCATCTCGTCGCTGTGGTCTGCGCACTCGGCGATGCCATCACAGCGCCACGCCATGGGGATGCAGTCAATCTCGCCAGTAGCGCAGGTGAACTGCTCACTAGAGCAGGTGGGAGGCTCTGAGGGGGGTTATGGGTAAATATGTGATCAGCACAGATGCATCAAATCCGATTGGTGCATTTTCAGTTACATGCTACAGATACATGTGTGCATATATGTTAAAATGTACCTCCACAGCTGAGCAGATTTTGAAGCAGCACCAGGTGCATGGGACACGAGCAGCGTGGCGTCCCGTCGCCCTTAGCGATGCAGATGTGGGAGCAATCTCCGTTGTTACGGGAACAAGGATGGGATGCTGTTAGAAAGATCAAAGGATAATTCAACTCTTTAATCACAGGAACTCTGAGGCCACATGGTCTTTATGTGAACCAATTTGGACAACATATGATTTTTGCAACTCAACTGGTTAAAACACTCAACTACCAGTGGAAATTCGTTTAGATGTTGTTGATTAGTCTGACAATTCATAAAGGTAGCTAAAGAAGAAACTGGGCTCTTTTTATAGGTTTCAAGACAAGCAAGCAAAATATGCATATTTTTTGCAAACAAAATTATACATACTGTTAAATTACTTAAATTAATCTTAAATACATGACTGAATATAATTTAGGATTAAATTTAATATTATAACTAAAAATGAATCCATAAGATAAATAATATAATACATTCTAATTTAAGTTACAATAATTTAATTGAAATGTCATTCAAATATAATTTAATGAATATAATGTATTAATCATATATTTATATTATTGTACTATAGTAGATCATTATATTTTAGAAGTATAGTAAGTGACAGAAGACCTTTCCGTTCTGTCATCCATAAAGTAAATAATATAATAAATGAGATAAATAAATAAATAGATTAGACTAGACTAGACTAGACAGGTAGCGTACAAGGTTTTCGGAACAAAGCTAATGTGTTATCATTTTAAAAATATAACAAACATCTGTGAATTTACCAAACTCCTCTGGTTCCACGTACTCCACCGCGTGGATGCCGGTCAAGTATTGGAGTCGCCCCTGAATGCGGGTCCTCTTCTCTCCGGTCAGCTTGTCCACGCATTCGATCATCTGCTGCTGTTTATCGATCCAGTACAGGTGATCGCCCAACACAGTCAGACCGACAGGCTGAAGGATGTTGGAGTCCTGGAGAACGATACGATTGGCCCCTGGGAAGCAAACAAAGAGATCCACAGAGTCATAATTCAGGATTTTCTACTGTGTCACGTTCTAAACCATATCTTTTCAGCCTTTGTGTTGGTCATTTGGCTGCAAAATGGAAAGTTCTGTTACGCAAGCATATTAGCCGTGGCTTAAGGTGTGACCATTTGTCTTATGCTAACATCAAACATCAGAGCTCAGCATCTGGAGAGACTTTGCTTTCTGGCAGCTCATTGGCAATAACAAAGTGATAGAGTGATTTTCAGTGACGAAGGCACTTAAATAACCTCAGAAGAATGAACTAAGTTATAGTCCATCAAATTCTTCATTAGAGCTTTGTCAATGTATATACCATGTTTAGACAACACAGACTATACTGTTTTGATTAGTTTAGACTAGATGGTATTGATAATATGCAGCATAAGTATAGACAGTGCCTGGCCTGCGCTCTCTGTTTGTATTTGTTTGGTTTCCATAGCTCTGTCATTTGACATGTTTAGAAGATCAAATCTCATTGGAGAGGTCAGAAACTTGTCCTTGTTTCACATGGTGTTCCAGAATACTGCAGAACTGATTGCAATCAATTTGCCCACGGGCGATACAATACAAGACAAGAAACAAAAACATTCTGAACATGAGATTCAGTGACATGTATGGCTACGTGACGAGTGAAAAGACCTAATCTTTCTGACAACAAAATTCATCTTCAAAATAAATGATTATCATTTGAGTTGTATGGGAACATTTTGTTTTTCAAGTCTTAAATCATGACATTTTGGTACAACATTAAAAGCAACACAATGTTCGTTATTATAATTGTACAGATCTATTTTACATTACTTTTGTGTAAAAATAACTCATTTTATTTTTAAAACTCACAAGTTCACAAATTGTTATGCTGATAATTAGGAATGCACAATATATTGTTATTTTACCATTATTCATACACCATTATAATATTCATTAATATTTTGAATTAGCTTTTATTTTAACATTTTAATTGTCAAAAAATGTTTTATGTGCTTTTGACAGTTTTATTATTTTTCTTTATATTTTAAAATATTTCAGTTTTAGTAATTTTTGTACTTCAACCTTATTTCCGTTAGTAGCAAAAGCAACATTTCTAATGTTTAATTATTTTTAAGTTTGATCTAATATTTCAGTTACGAAATTAATGATATTAGTTATGGATATATATGGATATTTTATGGATATTTACAGTAATTTTGCATGTTCATTTCCCCTATTTGTACATTTAGGAATAGAAGCATTTTCATCTGTGGACTTTTGAATCCCCCAGTGTATTTTAAAAAATAAGTAATCATACCTTTTAAAATAAATTCTATATATTCAATGTATTAGATGACGTTCTCAATTCAGGTTCACATTTAACTACCATATATACACCATTAGATATGCAAGCAAAAATATAGTAGT